ACGACGTTAGAAAATTCATCGTGACGCTGGTCATCTCCATTAAACTGTGAGAATTATATTTTTTAGAGTCGTTCAGGAATATTTTACGTTCGATACACTACCATTCTCAAGCCGGAAGAGCTCTCTCGTCTCAAAAAAAAAAAACTCGGTCAATTTCTCAGTCTAATTTCAATGCTGGTAACAGTGCTGTGTCCCTAGATATAGCTCTGACGGAGAAATCAGCTTTGCAGTTTTTCACGTCATCTCCTCAGCTTTTTTTTTTTTTAAAAAATTAGCAGAATTGCTGAAAGAGAGATTTCTTAAATATTATTAGCTCTATACTAAATAAATAATAAAATATTATTGATCAATTAAGTAAGTTAGTTAATTAGATAAATTCGTTAAAAGTTAAATTTATTCATTACATTAAATTAGTTAATTAAATAATTGATTTATTGACTAAAATAAAATATTATTCGTTAAATGCTATGTGGATTTTTAAAGACCAAATTAAACCAAAAAGTAATAAGACAAATTGCATTTCTCTTCCAAGTTTCGTGCTAATATCGCGTTCATGTCTCCTTTATTCTTTGAAATTGAAAAATTAATTATATTGGAACATTTGCTTTAATTTCAAAATTTATTTCAAGTAGAATGCATTAGATAAATAAGAAACAATTAAATTCCTGATTAGAATTCTTAATTCACATTTCAAAAGCGTTAATAGCAAATTATCAATTTAGCATGTGACTTATCAAAGTTTAAAGAGTAGTTAATTATGTTTTAACACGCGATTCATTAATTAAAATCGCTCAAAGTCTTTCAACAAATCATGTGATTGTTCATTGTCATCAACGTTTGCATTATCATCAAAAGAAAACTTTTCCTGAAGTCTCACCCACAGTAATACTTCACGATTCATCCAGATAAGGACGCGAATCTTGAAATAATGGAATTCCTCGCTTCATCATATGAGAGTCTATTTCTACTTTTTATGTCAAGTACAGAGCAAGAAGTATTTCAAAAAGTATAAAATCAATCAAAAATAAAAGGATTATATGTATGTATGGCCATTATAGGCAACACTAAGTAAATACCCCCACAGTTATTACATACGACAGTGATCTTTGATAGCTATGTTAGCTCTTTCGGTCTTTAACATTAAAACTTGTAATTAAGGTGTACGACTACCCTAAAATTGTGAATTTTGCCAAAACTTGACAATTTTTTTATGATTTTATTTTATAGGCCATCTTATTAGCTTTATAAAAATACAAAGTTTATTATTTTCCGTTCACTAAAACAAAAACTGTAAGTGTTTTAGTAAAAGCAGGTACCATTACTTTAAGTAAGATGCCATACCTTAAAATGCGTTTTACTTTAAATGTATTTTTTTTTAAATGTTGAAACAGGACTCACAGAGAGAGAGAGAGAGAGAGAGAATGCTCAGAAAGTTTTTAAACAATTAACTGAAATTTTTTGTGTATGCTCTGTATAATAGTAAAAATGTCTTAAAATTCATATTTATCAATCATTGTTTTATTACAAAATTTACAGTCCCTTGTGTTAATATAATCACTGTTATTTTAAGCAATTTCATATAATAACTAAGATAAAGTACCCTAGTTTTGGAAAAAATTAAAATATCTCTTATCCTGAAGGTCATTTCAAAAATGAATTACATAGCAACACAAGAATAGAAAAATTGAAAATTTGCTCATAAACTTTTGGTGCAGAATGGGCCTCGTTTATGTTCATTTTTGTAAATTTTGACCCAGTTTTTCCCATTTTAATAATTTATTTTCTTAATTTTAGCATATTTTTCTCGAAATGTACTAAACAAATCTAAAAAACCCACAAAAAAATCGACATGTATAAATTTCTTTAAAAAAAAGTTGTTGCAAGTAGTCGGATACCTTAATAGTATAAAAAAAGGTTTATTTAACATAAACTAAACTAAATTCAGTGGTGCAACAGCCCATGAGGGCCAAGGCCTGCTGTGCCCATTTCAGTATACATGACCATTGGGTGCTGAGTAGATGCCTCCAACAGGTGGTCAGTCTAGAGCGAAACCCCAAGTGTTTAGTTCCCAAGCAAACTTGGTACTCATTTGTCAACCAACTGAAGGAATGAAAGACTGAGTTTATCTTGCCAAGAGTGAGGATAGAGCCTCGAACCTGTAGTGTGGAAGCGCGATATGCTAACACTCGGCCACTTGGCCTTTTAGTTAACGCACTCTTTTACAAAAAAGATGAAAAAACATGAAGTCACTGTTTTTATTGAAATAAAAAATATAAACTGCTGTTTGTAAAAAATGCAACACCACGAAGGAATCATCAAAATTAAAGGAAATTTAGTGCACAAATGACTTGTATTAGTACAAATAAATGGCGAAGTTTTCAAAGCAAAATACAATATTAAATGTCCGAAATCAGTATTTGGTGTAGCCACCACACGCTGCAATAAGCCTTGCTATACGACATGGCATGGAGTCAAACAAATTTTGAATGTCTGCTTGTAGAAGAGAATTCCATATTGCTTGTATGCGCAGCAAAATTTCATCTTTTGAAGCTGCAGGACGCGTATCACGAGCGAGACGCCAACCAACCAAATCCCACACTTTTTCAATAGGTGACATATCCAGCGAATAAGCAGGCCAAGGAGGAAGTTGCGTGTGTTGGGCTGAACAGAAGTCTCGAATAGTCTTTGCAACAAGTGGACGTGCTTTATCCTGCTTAAAGATAGATCTAATGATGTCTTGAAGGAAAGGAATGACTTCGGGCTGTAGCACTTCACGAACGTACCTGTTACTATTCAGATTACCCTCAATTCGTAGCAAATTGGATCGTGCATGATACGAAACCACACCCCAAACCATAACTCAGGGTATTAAGCCACTATGTCATTCGATAATGCACTCTGGAAGGCAGCGTTCATCGCCATAGCACCTAACACAAATTTAAGCGTGATTCATCTGAAAAGACAACTTGGTGCCAATCAGCTTGCCAAGCTCTGTGCTCATGAGCCCAATGCAGACGCAGCCGTCGATGGTTTGCCGTGAGGGGTATCCTGTATAAAGGTACCCTTTCACGCAATCTACGGTGCAGCAGACGTCAACGAATTGACGAAGCTGCCAGTTTTTCAAGTTGTTCGGAGCTTGTTGGTCCCCTGCTTCCAGACTCGCATCACTATGAATCTATTCTACTACACTCGAGCTCCTATTGCGCCATAGGAAAATCCTCCTTCTAGAAGGCTGATAATCATTCCCCGTTCATACTCCGTAAGTTATTGGAATTTCTCCTTATTTCGTCGTGGAGGCATACTTAGGCCTCACTAAACGTTCGCCACTAACAAATAATCATTAATTATTTTCAACTTCCCGCTATAGCCTTCTATTTATACGCTTTCAGTGTCAGTACAGAGGGTGCTGCGCACACCACGTATACGCGATGGCTCTGAAACTTTACTAATTTACGTGTCCTATAATTGATATTTTCTGCAAAGTTCATTTCATTCTGATGATTCCTTCATGGTATTGCATTTTTTACAATCATTAGTGTATATATAAACTCATCCATTAGTAATGAAATGATTAAAAATTAAAAATCATAAGACCTATCAATGGATAGAAATTGCACATTGAATGTTAACATTAGTAAATCGGTATCTCCACGCCCAAAGGGGATGCATTCTTCTATACGTCGACGATAAGAAGTGATAAAAAATATTAATCTCATCTTGTAAAGCATTCTGCAAGGCATTCATCCACTAATGTATTAGATTCACGACTTTGGGGGCAGGCGGGTACCTGAATCTAGGGGCATGTCATGCCCCATACATGCTCGACTGCACAAAAGATCTAGTGAACTTGCTAGTTAAGGTCTACTGTCTCATCACATCCAATTATCTTCTGTTCCAATCCGAAGGTCCGAGACCTGCTCCAAGACTGAAGAAGAATTCATGGCTGAACATTGTGTGTATTGGCATCCATTAGAATAGGACACGACATCACTTTAGATGACTCTGTTGATGTTGAATGATGAAAGTTAGGCGTCGTAAATAACACCGTGAACGTAAATCTACAACAATCATGCACCATGAGATAGGGAAAAATACTAAGTGTGATATGAAAGAGGATATGGTACACTAGATAGCAAACGATGCCATTGGATCAGTTGAGGCCTGTCACACGATTATCTATCTTGGTTCACGTTCATGTGTCTTGACCCACCAGAGCCTTCATCCCAACGAGGACTTTTAAATCAACGAAAGTTAATTGTTTCAAATACCTGTTTGCAATCATTTCGTGTTCGATTTAATGGCTTCTCCTGCCATGCTGTGTTTGAATCCCCCCCCCACCTCCGGGAACCACAACGATCACCGAGATCACCACCGTAGTCAACATGAGGAAGAGATACCGCGACAAACTCTTTACTCAATCTTGTTCTTTAGTTGCAGCATTTTGTTCAGTATGGTTAGCCAGTTTCACGCATCCCGACTATTCAACAACATTCAAAATTGTCCAATTGGCAATAAGGTCTTCAACAACGTCATAATGGTATTATTGGTTGTGTCTCCAGTAAACTGTAACTCCGGCAACGAGATAAGATAAACCATTGCCAATTATTAGCAGCTTTTCAGGAATAGAAACGCTATGACTGAAATCAATTCTCATTGGTCTTAGAAAATTTAATCATTTGCTTACTTGTCTGAAAGAAATTTCATGGTGCCAAATTTCATCAGAGATTTTGGGGAGAAGTTGTCTTTTTCACAATTCCTGCTATAGCTTCTCCCTATATATATTTATTTTCATATATATCTTGTTCCAATTTTCAATCGTTAAGAAAATAATTTCTATTCATCCATCATGTTCAAATACATTTTTTAAACTTGTAGTGGATGGCACTTGATGTTAATACAGTTTTTTCAAATATTATTCACTAATCAAATTAAAAACGAATAAATAGCAAGACAAAAATAATAGTCCAACACCAAACATAAAAAGTAAAATCACTCGTTGTATCCCTGTAGGGCAACGGATAGCGCGTTGAACTGCTAATCCAAAGGTCTTGGTTTATAATACCACCTGGGATGGCCTAATTTCTAAGAATGTGATTCCTTTTTACTATACTATTTTATTGGGATAATTCAGTTTAATAATGAATAGATAGTAACAAACACAAAAATAATAGTCCAATATGATATTATAGAAAGGGAAATGAAAAATTGCTAGGAAAATCGCTTTTAATTTTGTCACTTATGTTGTGATTCTGTCATATGAAAATACATATTTATATTAATTGTAATTATTTAATAAAAAGTAACTCAGGTAAAACTTTTCTTTGTTGACCTAAATAGAGGAATTGACTTAAAAAATTATTTTTATATTACTTCTTACATATTTATTCAGAAGTGTGGGTAAAATATTCTTGTATGTAGGCCCTGTATTGTAATTAAGTAAAATGAAAAGTTTTCAAATTTTCCAAGGAAATTCGAGTAAAGCTTCTTTTATTAAGCTCCAAAATAAATCATAATAAATATATTTCTTCCAGTTTAATTAAAATCTATTCATTGGAAGCATTGAAGTTAATAAATATTTTTGCTATGTTTCTTATTATTCATTACATCCAGTACTATTCTATTTTCTCTTAGTTATTAAGTATAGCTATCATCTGAAGCTATTAACTAACCATCAAGATCTAAAAAAATTTTACAACCATTGTCATTATTATACCTGATGAACATCATTATTCTTTTTTGTAACATGATATTGAAAGCATTTTTTTCAGTGACTCATATTTCTAACAGTATTTTTCACTATTCTAATGAAATGTTCAAGGCTACTTTAAGGGTATTGTGTGATAATATGTGTTTTATCCAGAAAATAATAACACGTAATATAGTCTTAACCTCAATGCAAATTTATCATTTTTCTTTCTTAAGTTATTTCGGAAATTTTACTTAAAATTTCGAAATTTTAATTATACAAATATAGGTAATACATCACATGCATCCGAATGAGTCTTGCTAAAAAATGTATTTAATCGTTAAAATTAACCAATAATTCTGTTATTTTTTATAGAGCATATTTTATCACTTACCTAAAGTGAAATTTGAGGAATACTTTAATTCATCAGATTGTTTATTAAATTTATTTTGATAGACAAAAATAAACTCGTAATCTAATCTCTTAATAATGCCTTAAAACGCTCTAAACGAAATACTTTAGAATAAAAACTTTTTAATAAAAAGATATTTTTATCACCTTAAGCAACTAAAATTCAATTACACAGATTGAATTATTTCGAACGCAGAATAAGAAAATAAACGAAAAAATTAGCTAAAAAAAACATAATTTGGTTACAAGTCAATTAACATTAAATAATACACATAAATCAGATTATTGTAATGAATTTACTACCTACTTTTAGTTATTTGTATGTGATTACAATTGATTCCTCTTGAATAAAACAGTTGATTATTATCCAACTTTGTAATGTGATTAGTTCTACTCTGACTGTTACTTAACAAAAGAATTGAGAATTAAAGTTGTAGTTATGTAATGAATTTATAGTAATATGGAGAGAGATGCAAAATAAACCAAGCCCACAAAATAAGAAGAAAATAAAGTTTTTACAATAATAACGGTAGAAACAAAGAACTTGTTTTCTAAAATTTATGACTGTATTACATTATATATTCTCTGTAATAATAGATGCGACGTTAAATCTTATGAATATTATAGCAATAGTAAACACATAAAAAATAGGGGGGAAAACCTCGTTCTTTTTTTTCTCAATTCTGTTCTAAATTAAGAATTATGAACAGCGAGTGAACTAAGAAACTAACTCCTAAATGTGTTTCCTCTGTACACACTCTTACCATGAAATATACAAACATAATACATAATTAATGTTGCAACTTTATGCTAGAATAACATTATTAGATAAATTAGATTCCTCTGTACGCAATTTCCCCAGATTAAAAACTCAAAGAAGTCACCTTTAAAACAACAACAAAATCAATAGAAGTAATTTTTATTTTGTAATTAAATTACATGAGATTGAAGCATAACAACAATCAGTTTTTTTAACGAATATGTAAATATTTGTCTTTATTTAAAGCAGTTATTTTTTATACAAATATTGAGTCAAGACGAATATTTTGGAATGTTTTTCTTCAAATTCAAAAGAATGATTTAAAAAGCTTTAAAGGGCTGTATGAATGATAGCAAAGTATGTTTTCTTTCACTTTATAATAGTTCATACAATATACAGGTTTTGTGTTGCTGAATTCGACTGACAAATTCAGAGGAGTGATAGTAGGTAGTATGGGTATGAAAAACCACTGTAGAACATTGGGTTGCAAACCAAATTTAGTCGGTGAAAATCGCGATAATACTTGCCGTTGGGAGGATGATAAGCCAGACGAGGGGAGTGACCAAACGAATGCGGGAATTTGAAGCTCCGTGGTAAGGTTGAAGAGATCTGTGTGTATGCAAATTTCTCACTTCTCGCGGAGTTGCTGCAGGAGTACCTGTCACTACGCACCAGTACATGTGATTCACGCATGCTGGTGCACCAACATATTTTTCGATTGTGGTATTACATATCCATGGAGGGTTATTGGACGTGGTGGACCTGTTGCTTATATCCACCACTCTCTTCGAACTATCCCTTGGATGTCTTCTTCTGGGACCACCTGAAATCGCTTTATTCGATGCCGCTGGCTTCAGTGGGGATCTCACGGCACGATTCGTCATCGCTTCAGATGACAGCGCCATCACACCTGGTTTGTTTGAACGCACCCGACGACTCTTTGTCCTTCGGTGTCGACTGTGTCATGACTTACGTGGCGGCGATTCCAATGACAATCACTTGTCGTTGCATTTCTGATGTCCACTTGTGATGCACTGAACGTATTGTAAACATGCGTTACCTCTTATAAATGTATTTCTTACGTCTTATTGTCCCTTTGACATCAAATCCTTCATAACCGTTTTTGTGAATTACTTTGACTAAGCATGGTTTGAGACCCCATGTTCTGTGCTGATTTGTCATCCCTATGAACTATCATGGACTGTCTACTATCACCCGTCTGAATTTGTCAATCGAATTTGGTAACATCTTGTATATGCTTTCAAGAATTAAAATTAAAAACTGTTTAAATTGCAACAAATACTTTGACAATAGATTCGTGAAGTGATATATTTCATGATAAATGAAATTTTATAATATTGCAATAATTGATACATAGCATATAAAAGCAACATATGCACATTAAAGCATAAGAAAAACAGCAAAAAAATCATATTTATCACAATAAATATTTGGCTTATGGAATAATTTTAATTCAAATACAAATCACTCTTCTCTAGCACAAAATAATAATTTTTTGTATCTAAGTAACATAAAAACAATCTCTCTCTCTTAATGCGATAAAAAATAATTTTACAGAAATTTTCCACTTTTGGCAATTTTTATTGATTTCACTTCTTGAATTTCTTACCTCTCAAAAGAATTTCTGGTTCTGAATTATCCAATTTATCGATAGTTCTATGAATACAGAATTTCGACTGTATACATTTTTAAATTTTTTTGTTTACTGACGCACTTAAGATTTTACTTAACCTTTAGAGCCCTCTATTTCGAAGTTTAGTATAGAGAATTTTGTTTCGAAAATTTCATTTGTTATTCATTTAGTTCTAAAAGTATTTTTGCTTTTATATTGCCATTTTTCTAGAAAGTTGGTAAAATTTTCCTATACTGATTTTTTTAGCTTTGTTTTGGAATCCTCCAGGCATTTTTTTTTTCGTTTAAAAATGTTGTCTTTTTTTATTTTGTGTTAAAAGACTGTTATATGCAAAAAGTTATTTTTCTAGAACTGAGCGCGTAAATATTGTTTCAACACTCCCATTCTAAATCATCTCGCTTTATATGTAAATTTTAGATTTCAAAATGCTCTTTGAATCGTTTCCTGTTCAAAGCTTCATGAATATATATATATATTTTATATTTCAAAAAATTGTAAATGCCTGATTTACTGATTCTACGTCTAAGAACCCCCCCCCCCCATTTGATTTTGAATGTTTCTCAAATATATCTCAGTCATAAAGTATTTTACTCTTCCATGTAAATAGGAGGATAAACTAATTTTAAAAACTTGTCTTACGATATATCTTCTAACATGCTTTGTGGTCGCGGTAGCCAAGTGGTCAATGCATCGGATCACAGCTGGCATGTCATGAGTTCGAGCCCAGTACCACTGAAGACCCGCAGTGAAGGGGAGCGATGCCCGTAAAATCTGTCTAGAGCTCAAACGTCCACCGTTGGTGTGATGTGGTAGTTAGGAGAGAGGGGTACCATCTCATTGTGATGTAGCCGCTCTCTTTTCCCTAATTAACCAGCTGTAATGTAGCCGCTCTCTTTTTCCCTAATTGCTGGGAAAAAGTGGCCCGAATGGGCTCTGACCTCTGTTCCCACGACCATTCCTCAGAATCCGGGAGTGGACATAATCCCCGGCCTTTGTGGAATTTCGGTTTCCCACGCATCCTTGGCGACGGCGGGACGTTGAGGCGGCACCCAACATTTGGACCAGGAATTTTACCACGTTGGAGAAGCCGACGAGACAAGGAACAAAGGGAGCCGAAAAGAGTGACCGAGAGCAACCTGGACTTTAAAAGGCGCGGGTTAAATTTTAAAGGGAGATGGAGAGAGAACCGCTTAGAGGCCTCTCAAGCGATCTAGCGAGAAACTCATGGTCTGCATCTGCGATTATAGTAGATAGCGAAGGACTTTGGCTGCGTTTACCCTGCATCTGCGATTATAGTCGACAGCGAAGGACTTTGGCTGCTATTACCCTGCATCTGCGATTATAGTCGACAGCGAAGGACTTTGGCTGCTATTACCCTGCATCTGCGATTATAGTCAACAGCGAAGGACTTTTGGCGGCTATTGCCAATTACAGAGACTGTGATATCAATCTCGGAACGAGTGTTCTTAGTTAATCTTTACTCTTAATAAATTTTATATTTATAAGCTGAGTGAAGTCATTACAGCTTATAATATATAAATATCTGGTGGCAGCGGTCGCAT